AGTTAAAATTTTTTGGTTATTTTGTATGCAAAAGCACATTTTCGATCATTTAGAATAAAGAAGAGGCGATTAATTTGATCACTTGACAGCTATTTGCTCAAACTGGCACTATTGTAAGGAGCATGCACTCGGCACTGATTAGTGCAAAGCTATCGACTATGCTTTCTAATCGACATCAATTTTGTAAAAAGATTGGCCTTGGTTGGCAATCTTTCTTAGGCGAAGCAAGTGCCCACACTATCACTTCATTGTTTAATTTATAATAAACAACAAGCTAAAAAGTGAGCAAAAAATGTATAAAAGACTTTTCATCTTCCTCATGCAAATCATGCATAATTTCCCTTCATTCTTGTTACGTCAACACACAAATAAATAAAAACATGGAAAACTACCTAACACCAGCACTGGTTGCACTGGCAATCGTCTCATGGATATTCTAGTAAGATATTCGTTTGTGTTCAAGTTCACAATTTTTCAACTNAAAAAATGATATAAAAGACTTTTCATCTTCCTCATGCAAATTATGCATAATTTCCCTTCATTTTTGTTACGTCAACACACAAATAAATAAAAACATGGAAAACTACCTAACACCAGCACTGGTTGCACTGGCAATCGTCTCATGGATATTCTAGTAAGATATTCGTTTGTGTTCAAGTTCACAATTTTTCAACTGTTTTTCAATTACAGCTTAGTGAGGCGCCAACGAAGCTACTGNCCAGCACTGGTTGCACTGGCAATCGTCTCATGGATATTCTAGTAAGATATTCGTTTGTGTTCAAGTTCACAATTTTTCAACTGTTTTTCAATTACAGCTTAGTGAGGCGCCAACGAAGCTACTGGCCCGACAGAGGAGTCATCCAGGGCCCACCTCCGCTGCCACTGCTAGGCAACATGCACCAGCGAATGAGCGCCGACCTGTACTACAAAGAAACGGAATGGGCGCAGCAGTACGGCAAGATTTACGGCTTCTTTCTAGGACCGATTCCCGCGCTCATGGTGACTGACGTAGAACTGGTGAAGCAAGTGCTTATAAAGGTACTCATGCAACAACACCTTTTTCCTGTTTCAAACTAGAGTAACCAGTCTTTTTATTGCCGTGAAACAGGATTTTCAGCATTTTATTAATCGAGGTAAACCACCGGTGCTCAACCGGTTGCTTCAGGCGACGCTGCTCTTTGCCGACGATCATCAGTGGCGAAGGGTGCGCTCCATCGTCAGTCCGGCGATGACCACTGGGCGGATGCGCGGAATGCACCGCCTGATGCAGAGGTCAGTGGGCAAACTGGTGTCCTATCTGGAAAAACTGTCTTCAAACAGCGGCATTCTGGACACCAAAAAGGTGGTCGCCGGTAATTACTAATTTTTAAAACAAATTTTTTTGGATTTTAACTTCTTTACCAATCGAATTGAGGTTTTACCATTGACGTGATAGCTTCGGTGAGTGTAGGCTAATGTTGAAGACAAACATTGTGATGATTGTTGACATTTAATTGAAGGCTGGTTTTGCCACTGAAACAAACGCCAACGATGACCGCAGCACTGAAAATCAGTTTGTGACCATGGCCAAAAATCTGGTGGCTATTAGCAGGCTCAAGGTGGTTGCCATGCTTGTCTTGCCCAACTTTCTCCTGCACTGGCTGGCGATTGACAACTTTCTCTCCGATGAGCCGTTCAACTACCTTACGCAGGTGGTCAGTCATATTCTAGATCAACGGAGAGCTGCAGCAGCAAATACTGCTCGGGAGAAAAAGGCAGTTGATTTGCTGCAGTTGATGCTGGACGCGCAAGTTGATGAGGCGGAGCTCAACACCGTCAACTACGACGGACTGACCATCACGGAGGAATCAGGCGATGCAGCGGCAAGTGAAAAGAACAAGCTTGTGACAAATGGAAAACAGAAAAGTCTAACTAAAGATGAAATTGTGGCAAATTGCCTCATCTTTTTCATTGGAGGTTTTGAGACGACTCAAAGTATAAGCATTTGACTTGATTCTGTTTATACTTGTGCTGATTTGGAGACTTTTGTTTGCAGGCACCATTTCACACTGCCTGTTTGAGCTAGCCCGTTATCCTGACATTCAAGAGCAGCTGTACGGTGACTTGAAGAGAGCACTGGACAAGTTTGCTAGTGATGAGGGCAGCGATGAGTACTATGAAACGATCATGAACTCCATTCCACTGCTGGAAGCAGTCATCAAAGAGACCCTGCGCCTCTACCCACCAATCTCTATGATGAGTCGAATTTGCAATACTGATGGTTATCGACTGGGAAGTCTGGTCCTTCAAAAGAATGACATTGTGTCCATTCCGACATGTAAGTAATTCGCAAACAATTTTGTCATTTATACTTTGATTTTATTCTCTATTAGGTGCCATTCACCAAAATCCCGAGTTTTACCCTGATCCGTTCAAGTTTAAGCCTTCTAGGTTTATGCCGAAAAACAAACACCTT